AAACACCTAAAAGCTGTTTCCATGGCCTTTTGCTGATCTTTGTTTGAATTGTGTTTGGTTTGTTCTCAGCCTCCACATCACATTGTCACATTTTTCTCTCATTCATCATGTCAGTGCAAGACACCTGCAGAATAGAAAAGGTCTGTTTCTCTCAATGTCTGTCAGCTTCCCCAGCCAGCACAGATAGACCCTGTGAACACAACAGATAACTGCTTATCCCTGTCCCATTAGTTCTTGGGGAAATAATTTGACTTAAAAATAATTTGGGGGATTGAAAGTGTATATCAATTTTTTTTCTGTCCAAAATTCTTCTTGAAGATATTTTCTGAATAATCTGTGCAAATAACTATTCTTACAGTGCATTTCAAAGAAATGCAGCAGACAGAGGTAGGCTGGCTGATCACAAGACATTATGCTGATTGAAACATCTCATTTTCTGGTGAAGAAACTGGACTGCACACATTCTTCCATGTTTCTCTGAACTTCAGGAGTAACATTCAGAAATGTCTGTTTTCATAACATCCAGTTAGAAAATTGTTTTCCATTAAAATTCAACATGCATTCTTGAACAAAAAAACCAAAACAAAACAAAAAAGGAAACATATTTTTACCCAGCAATAGAGGAACACAGATTTACAAGACATTTTTTCCAGTGAAGGAAGACAGTAACACTGATAATTCTTAGCCCAGCTAAGTAGCTCTAAATGATGTCAGATATGCAAGACATGGCAAACATGGTTGTCCAACACAGAAACACAGAAAAAGAGAAATCAGTAGAAAAGAAGCTTTTTATTTTTTCCGACAAAAAGGAAAATAAAGAAAGATGATGTTGATTGCTCCAGTACAATGGAAGGATATAAATATAGGCATAAATCCTTTAAATTTTAGTCATCTTGGCTAGAACTCAGCTTTTTATTGACTTCAAGTATAAAATGTAAACATCTCAAAGTGGAAACTGTGAAATACAAGTATAAAATAATAGAATGAGCATGAAAAGACAGTGCTGGAAAAATAAAAAAAAATAAATTGAGGTACAATTAGCAGGAGACAAAGGATAAAAAGAAGTTCTATAAATACACATCAGAGTAAGAGGAGGACCAAGAAACACTACTGGTTGGGCAGCAGCTTGGAGGCAAACTCAAACTATTGACATATTGTGCCAAGAAATCTGTTTACTGACTTTATTGACCATTATTACCATGAAGGTCAATTGCAATTCACTGGCTCCTGCAATTAAAAGCTATCTAAAAAATCAATAAAATTATATATATATACATATATATATATATAAACACACACACATATATGAAAGGGAGGCACAGTGTTAGGACAGAATAGAGAAATAAATTATTATGAAAATATGTAAGTCAAACAATTCAAATTACATATTACATTTGCCCAAAGTCTTGGAAAAGTGGATGAATATCAGAGCTGTAACTGCTTGAAAGCTGTTATCAGAATTATTTCAGAAAGGACATGATGGATCGAGATGGGTACAAAAGCCCTTACAAGAGCAAAAATTATGGCTGCTGTAGAAGGGAGAGGAAAAAATGATAGCTTAGTTATTTTAATTTTCTTTACTTTTGCATTTTGTAAATCACCTAAAAAGAAATTAGGCAATTGGTAACTGAGCATGGATTCATCAAGAACAAGGCACAATAAAGCAAGAAGCCTTGAGAAATAATTGATGCCACATTTCATGATTTTATAAAGCCTTTTTGCATCTTTGCACAGTACTTTCTCCTAATAAAACCAAGAAACATCATGTAAACAGTGTTACTACAGGGTAAATAGCATAGAAAAGAGGTTGTGCTTTAGCTATCAGCATGTACAAGGAAAATGGTAGCTAATGGAGTTCTTGGTCAGCACTGTGTCCAGCTCCATTCTGTATTTTCATCATTAATCCTGATATGAGAAGAGGGACCACTTCCAAAATGCTTCATGGAATCATAGAATGTTCTGAGTTGGAAGGGACCCACAAGGATCATTTAGTCCCATTCCTGGCACAGGACAATCCCAGAAATCCCACTGTGTGCCTGGGAGCATCTGAAGATGTGTCTAAGCTGGGAACATCTGCAGGCACACTGGGAGACTCAATTAGAGTCCACAAAAATCTTGATAGAAATGGTTTGCAAAAGATTAAGTGTGACTCAAGGGTAGCTGCATTATTCTTACTCTCAGAAATAATGAACTGCAGAAACATAAGCTGGAAACAGCACAACAGTTTTGCACTAAAGGATCTGCATCAGAAGCTAAACTTGAATCCACAAAGCTATTGCCAATAAAAGCAGTTATCATACTGGAAGCCTCATAGTCAGAATAAAGCAGGTGCTGAATGCCATCTGAAATGATATTTTACCTTTACTTGCTTCTGATGGAATACTGTCTAGTAGTGGACACTGCCTGAAGATTAAAAGATGCAGTTAATTTGAAAGAGCAGCAGTCTAGAAACAATCAGCAAGACTGAAATATTGGATCTTATTCTAAAAAATACTTTAAAAACCGATTATTATATAACACAAATATGCACTTATATTCTAAAAGTACAGCTTTGAGTTAAACATAAAAAAACTCCCCAACTTTGCAGAGGTAAAGACAAATGTGCAAGGAAAATAAAAAAAATATTGCATAACTTTGGAAACGGGTTAGAAAGATGTCTGTCAGGAATGGTTTAGTTATAACAGATTCTGTATTTAGACAATTTCTTGAATTTTTTCCAGACTCTTTTCCACTTATTATTTTATCTTACAGTAATCATAAATCACAAAAGCAGCTGAAAATATAATTTCATCAAATCCTGTTAAACCTATTAAATATGTCAAGATTTCAACTAACTTTTTCTCAAAATTTTATAAAGTCAGAACGCTGTCTGAGCCAAACAGACTCAGTTATGTCCCTGTCCCATTTTTACTCCAAGAGACAGTAGCACTACTAATGTTTAGCTCTCTTCCTAAACTTTCCTCTTTCCCTTCTGAACTAGCATCTGCATCAACCAAACATGACACTTCAGTGCCTTTGAACTTATGAAATGAGAATTAACTTCCTCATAAAGGATTACAGCATCAGGTCAAAAACTCCCATAAAATATAAAAATCTGTACCAATAGCCTGAAGGAGTTATTCCAACACATGAAGATACAATGTGGAGCAATAATTGGGAAGTATTAGATACTAATTAGATCCTTCTCTGAATAACCTATGTCCATGTCCATGTCCATGTCAAGCTTAAATCAACAGTCTCATGGTTATCTTCAACCAAAATTCTCTGTTCCAGCCTAGCACAAGTGATTTCCACATCCTGACAACTGCAGGTTCAATTGCCATGACAACACGAACACATAATTATGCACTTGCCTTGAAAGCCAATGCAGAGGAGCAGAAAGCATCCAGAGAACTTTGTGTGTGTTACCTGCATGTACCCTGACTGGAGTGCAGGTCTTTTAAATGTATTTTCACAGGGGTTCATAACAGTCAGCAAAATAGTGAATCAAATTTATTTGAATTCAACAAAATGTAAGTTAGACAACAAGGTTACCTCAAACTTCATTTTATCTTATTCCATGAGAAAAACCTCAAGAAGTTAAAAAAACTTTTCCTATTCAGTTCAGATTTTGAATAGAGATTTCATATAATTATAAATACTTCTAGGTTTTTAGAGAATGATTTGCGTAAATGGTTTAATCCAGGAATTTAATATCAAAATAAATAAGTTGATTAGAATATTTATGCAATGACAATCACAAATAGCTTAAAATCTCCTTTTTTGGTAATATAGCTTTCTTGTACAGGCTTAATAAGCTTAAAGAATTGTGTCTTCTAGTTAAAGGTTTATTTTTAGGACACACTTTAAAAAAAAAAATCCCTGTTTTTTTCTTTAATATCATATCTTATTAATCTCTGAAATAACACATTCCAAAACAGTTGTGAATAATTCTAATTTCAGTCTGTGTGCCCATTTAGTGTTAATTTTTTATCCTTATGGTGTTATCAACAAATATTGCAGGTATCAGCTATTATCACCTGTGGTGGCTTCTGACGTAATAAAAGATATCTTTAGAGGACTGAAGTCACCAAACTCATTAAACAGGACACTGAAGTTGGCAGCTAAGCTGGGCATTAGTTTCAGCTCTTGAGCAGGGAGCAGAGTATATTACTGCACTTCTGAGAAATCAGTCCAATTCATCACTTATATCAGTGCACTGTTCCTCACTGACACGGTGTTTTGCAGCACAGAAAAAAATATTATGTTTGCTGGAAAATGTCAAATTGAAATAGAGGTATGACTTCAGAAGTATAAGATTGGGCACTGACTATTTTCTGTAGAAAGAGCACCCACCTCTTCCCAGGACATAGAGCCTTTCACCTTTACAAGCTCTGGTTTTTCAGCACATGGAATTTGGCCGCTGCTCCCAAAATCAGATCAAAAGCTCCTTGGTGGTGACATTGAAAGCTCACCAGTACATGGCAGCAGCTTTGATATTCTTACTTTCCCAAACTGTTGTTCTAAAGGAGCTTGGGCAGGTAACAAACCTGAACCAGAAATAGGAAATATCACTCACCTTGCCGATTTAAAAGAGCAGCACTTACATTATTAAATGGATAAGAGTATTCATATGCCTTACTTGTCCAGATGAATAGAAAGAATGTGTTTGAATGTCCTTCAGAAAATGATACAGAAAAGAGAATGTCACACAGGTATGAAAACGTTAAACAAGCACTTCCACTGGGGGAGAAAAGAAGACAGGATATTCTGAATTAATTTAAATGAATAACAATACTCTCCTGGACCTTTAATGGGAGCAAGATTTTATCAGAGATAAGAACCAGAGACACAGTGAGCTAGGGTAAGAAAGAGGGAAGTTATTTCTGAGAGTAATGACTTAAAATAGACTTCATCCAGTCTTGCTGTGACTAAACAAGTGTCTTTCATGATACAAGAGAAAGAGACTGGGAATTCACTGAGTGTCTCTGTGATGGTGTACGTCATCACAGAGAGTTTAACCCACTCTAAGCCCACACAGTTCCCAACACCCCAGAAGGAGATTCTGTGGAAGTTCTGCAAGGTGATCACTTCAATCCCCTGAAACACTGAAACCAATATCTTCTCCACCAAGGTAGGGGGTCTCCCAACATGTAACCTTGGAGCACAAGAAAAATGTGCAAACATTTGGGAACAAAGTGCATTTTTTTCTTCATATGGTAGCCAGGATTAAAAGTATTTCTGTTCAAATTTGGCTGTATAAATCCAAACAACTCAATATTAATATGCTATATTCACCAAATTTGGTAGGTAAGACCATTTGACCAGGCAAAATATTCAGATCACAGATCAGGTTGTTAAATGGCTAAGAAAAAGAGGGAATTAAAAGAAGTTTTTAAATGCTAGAACAGAGCCAGTAGCTTTGCAAGTAAAGAACCAAGATAATTATCAAATGTTTCAAACAAAATAAACAAATTAGCATCCCCAAAACTGTAATAGTGCTCAAGCTTTCTGATAAAGTTAAGTAGATGCGAAATAAAAGACAGCAAGGTCTCAGTCTTACATGTTTCTGACATGGGTAAGGCTGAAATAATTATCATGCATTTCTAATATAATGTACTTATAGGCATAGGGGTTTTTTTTACCTGTATATAATGGCTATCAAGAAACAGGAATTCTTAGTTTTAAAAAGCCCAAACATTAATTTAGCTAAATGGTGTATTTCTTGGAAAGTATTATGAAAATAACATTTAAAAATCTTTCTGTAACTATAGGTTTAACAGTTTGCAGATCCTTTGGAAAGTTCTTAGATTACCAAAGCAAACATAATCCTTATGAAGAAAAAAGAAAATAGAACAGACAAATAAACAAAACAAAACCCAAAACAGGAAAAAAACTTACAAAAGAATTTCATTAAGCTTGCAGACTCCTTCCAATCTTGAAATACATCACACATGAAAGTGGTTTTTTCCTTCCTACTGGCACTGGTCCTTTTCCATTTCCTCTTTATGGAAATCCTAGCCAAAGAATGGCAATAGGGTCTGCTAAAGAAATTGCAAGGTCTTCTTTCCTTTTTTTTTCCCTAGTATTTTTTATTATTTACTAATTTTTAAAATAAATTTAGAACAGAATTTCTATCTTTAGTATTCCTCTGGATCTTGAGCATCTTCCAAACATTTTCGCAGCACATATTAAAGAAATAGCACATATTGGGATGGTTGTATTTATAACAGAGTTTCAGTCATTATCATTCAGGTCTAATTCCTCCACAAAGACTGTGTTAATGTTTCTTTGAACAATTTCATCACATTAATAGATTCCAAAGATTTTGCTATTTTATAAGTTGTGACTGGAACAGCAGTTTGACATCAGAATAATGAATTTAACCATCTTTCTGACTGATCTAACCATGCCAAATTTTACATCCCCTGGTCACCTGTGGTAATGTCTGTTCTTATCCCATAATCTATAAAGCTTCAGATATTTCTGATATTAATTATATATATTAATATTGTATATTAATTTTTTATGAGAAAGGTTTTGATCTTCAGTAGATTTCTGCATCAAAAAAGGCCGGTTTTCCATGCAAGAATTCAAGGGTCAAGAATAGGCAAAGAAATGTTTAACCTGAAGATCTTATGCACCACTTTATTTTAAAATTTTACAAGTACTTAAAATTTTTAAGGTATTTGGAAGTAGCATGCCTATTTATAATTAGAGGCACCGCGTCTCTATCTCAAGCATAGAGACAGAGAAAATAGAATCATAAATGATAGAATACACTGAGTTGGAAGGGACCTGCAAGGATCACTGAGTCCAACTCCTGGCCCAACAGGACACCCCAAGAATCTCACCGTGTTTCTGAGAGTGTTGTCCAAACATTCCTTGGACTCTGTCAGGCTTGATGCTGTGAACACTTCCCTGGGAATCCTGTTCCAGTGCCCAACCACTCTCTGGCTGAAGAACATTTTAAAAACCTTTTCCCTATGTCCAGCCTGAACCTCCCCTGACTCAGCTCCATGCCATTTCCTCAAGTCCTGTCTCTGGTCACCAGAGAGAAGAGATCAGTACCTGCCCCTCCACTTCCCCTCGTGAGGAAGCTGCAGAGCCCGATGAGGTCTGAGCTCAGTCTCTTCTCCAGGCTGAACAGACCAAGTGGCCCCAGCCATTCCTCATACAGTTTCAGCTCTTTCAAAGATATTGGGAATTATTTTTTTCCTGGCCTCCTTTCAATATCACTGTTGACAGTACCTCCTGTCATCATCAGTTATAATGATAATTCCCAAGGCCACTCCTCCTTCCTCTGTATCCCAGCTTTCAAAATAAGCTTTAGGTTAGAAAAACACTTCCTTTTCAGCTTAGGAAGGAGAGGGCAGCACAGAGTTTGGATGGTGAGGGCAGTGGGGCCTGCGGTGCCTCTGTGAGGGGAGGCTGGGCCTGCCCAGACATTGCTGGTTCCCGCCAGCCACAACCAGTCCCAAAAATGCATTGAAGGATGGGCAAAACACTGCCTGGCGAGGTTTTCCTCACAGGACTGAGGGAAAAAAGGTGGAGAAACAGCCCTGCAGTGCACATGTCACTGATAACTGAGGAGGAAGCAGTGCTGTCAGCTCCGATGACGCCCCTGAGGACACATGGTTGTCACCTCGCAGACCACACGGCATCAGACACCCACATGCACACTAGGTACATAAACAGCATTCCCAGGCAGGGTTGGGCTGTACCTTTGGACAATTTTAATGGGATAATGAATTCAAAGGTTTTTGCCATTATCTATGCAGTGACAAAATCACCAGATTGCTTGATGTCATAACAGATAATTTAGCCAGCTCCCGATCAATCATTTGTAAAAGTTTATATTCACTGGGAATTACAATGTGCTTGTCAGAGACCTCTGGTAATTTTACTATGCTGTCAAAAAGGTGTCTTGGATGGGAACTGCTCAGGTAAAATTGCATTTGGCAAATGTATTAAATCAGTGTTGCCAAGAAAACTTGGCACCATTGGATTAATAGTGAGGAAGGGGGGTTGTGGTCCCTTCATGGCAGCTCCATTCTGCTGCTTCTTCCCTCCCCACAGTTTTCCCCTGCCCCAGCCTGTGTCCTTCCCCAGACTGCAGCCCTCCAAGAACAGCTCTTCATGGGGGCTACACTTCTCCAGGGCAAGCTTGGTCCAGAACACACTGTCCATGGGCCACACGGCTCACTCAGACAATACCAGACTGCTGGGTATTACCTGAATGTACTTCACAAGCCTTAAACAGAAAAATTTAAAATGCATCTTTGGCTGCTGCTGAAAAGCAAGGTCCTTTATTTTCTGCCAACCTTCTCCACTACTCTGAGACAAAATTTTACAACATAGAGAGCTAGTAGATTATGGTCTGAAGTAAATCCCACAAAAGAACAGTGTGGAAGAGTACAAAGACAGCTTGCCAGGGCATTTATCTCTTCTACTTAAGCCTAGAAACACAGAATAAGTACATATATATAGCCTCCCAAAAGGCTGAAAATAGTAATAGTCAATCCCAGTGGCTTGAGATGCTGCCTACAGAGAGTGTGCTCCTGTTCTGAAATCATAGAGGGAAGGAAAAGGTCTTTTTGCTCACTGTGTTGAGATTCACTTGAGATTCTTTAAAAAGGAACACTGCAACAGGAGCTGGCAGTCTCATGTACACTAGGTACAGGAACTGAGTATTGCCTTCAAAAAACAGACCTCAGAATGGTTCAGCACAGCAAGTGCAGGAAAAATAGCAGGACCATTTCTGACAAATGGGAAGAAATCAGAAAAATGCATGTCCCCACTCTAGCATGGCTCCCTTTAACATGTAAACATAGTTGTGGCAATTAGTATTTGAACAAAAATATGTTATAAATGGGATTACACACCTTGCATAGTAAATGATCTCAGCAAATACTTTTTTTTTAATCTATGCAAAAACATAACCTCAAGAATATGTGCTTCATTATCTAGCTAGAAGTTTAGGTACTGTAGTTTGGAGATATACTAGGAACAAATTGGATTTAATAGGAAAAATATTCAAATGTTATGTTTTTTGAACACATGGGAAGCTCCAATAAATCATATTAATTGCTTTAAATTATAAAATTTAAGAAGATGCTGGTACACTTAATCAACATGGTCCACTGAATACAGAGTTCCTTGGCCTTGGCCCTATCTTCACTTCTCTCCATAAATCACTTATTGCCTCAGAGAAGATAAATATAGATCCAAAAAATTACTTTAGGTACATAACTCCTTGGTTATCCTATGTGGGATTTGAAATGCAATTGTGGATCACAAGTTTCTTAAATATAGATAAATAGATTAATCTTTTATTTAAATATATTTCTAAAATAAAGTTAAGTATTTGTTACCATTATGAAATATAAACATGGCCTGCATCTTATTTTCTACTTCAGCATGCCACTAAAAATAAATGGCCAAAAGGTCTTCCTTCTGAATTTGGAAACAGTTTGTTGTATGTGATTTATATCAGCCCCCTCATTATAGAAAACCTTTTCACCATGTGATTGTGTGTATAAGAACAATTATAGAAATTCTGAATTCTCATTCTTTAGATGAGCTGATAGGCTGTGAAAGATACTGGAGTGACAGCTCTTCTGCATTGATCCAGTACAGAGAATAGCCATGGAATTTCTGTTTGCACCTTCCAGGGTATGTAATTTATCCCTGATCCTGAGAAGTGCCCTGTTCATCACTGTCCCTCCACTGAATCTGCTCCCAGTGCACCAGGCTGCTTCACACTAGGGAGCACTCAGACAGAACCTCAGCTCTGTGCACCCAGAGCTCACGTGGGAAGAGTTCCCTTGTGGGGCTGATCCTCCCCTCTCCCCCAGCATTGTCAGCAATGTATTTGGAACAGTTGCAGGCTCACTTTTTGTCTCATTGAAGGAGAGAAATTAAAAACTTCTAAAAGCAAAGGTAATTAAAGAATTTACAGCAAGAAATACCTGATCATTCAAGCACGCTGTACATTCACACTGTCTGCAAAAGAGGAAATGAGTTATGTTCTTCACAGATGCAATTTTTTTTGGTTACTTTTAAGCTATAGGACATTTGGATTAGTTTTCCCTTTTAGAAATATAAGGTATCATTATAGTGTTTGATACAATATTTGGGGAAAAAAAAAATCTCTACCCCAAGTCATCTCTGTTTTGCTGCCCAATTCAAAAAGTATTAATTATGGAAGGAGAAAAAAAGACTGGAATGGACACAAACAAATTACATGTAAATTTGTTGAATAGATTACTCTATTGTTCAACAACAACGCACAGTTCTTACCTTAGAAAAACAATTCCAGTATTAAGAACAATAGAACCTATATTTACCACAAAGGGAGGTTTATCAAGATAAAACAATTGGGATCCAGTCTTAAAACTCTCATCTGATGGTAACCGTCACACAAGAAATATGCATGAAATATTTCTGCAAATCTTCAGTCTTCTAATTCAGAAGAGATATGGGTGAAGAAGGCAAATAATTTCACACATTAGTGATGAAATTAGAAGATGAAAGGGAAACAAGTAGCAAGAAAGAAGGAGGCAGAAAGGTTAGATGTTTTAAAACCCTAAGTTAAATTTAAATGATATGTATAATCTGGGAGACATGAACACTGTGATTCTAAATTTATCATGTGAAGTGTCTACACATTCTTTAAAAACCTTTACTTAGAGACTTTTGAAAAGACATTTTTTATATATAGAAGGGCATGGACAAAACATAAGTAAAGCTTTTCTGGGTGCGATTTCTTAACTGTAGGTAAAATTCATATTCTGTGGCCACAAAACAAAAAGCAGGAAAAGCTTGTTCTAGGAAATCTCAATGGGAATATTAGACAGTCTTGTTGTGGAAAATGTACTGAATAATGGTATTTGATATTCAGTGTCTCCTGCAAACTGACAGTGTTGGAATTTCCCTTCCTTAAAGCACATATTTGATATTTGGCCTTTTTTTTGTCCCCCAGCTCATTTATATGTGTGTGTTTTTCCTTTTAACGCCCCCTCCCCACCCTTTTTAAATTTAAATAAAACTCTGGGGAAAAAAAAAGCAACAGAAGATCACAGGATGTGAAGATGCCATTCTGGGAACTAGCAAGCAGTCTCAACAGTGAAAGAAGCCAAGTGATCTTTCAAGTGGGCTATTACTGTAGTTGTGGAAGCAGAATAATGAAACTGAACAGAATAATTGGCCTAAATATCTGGTTAGAGGGCTGGTACAGAGAAAAGAGCATGAAAGGCTCTACTAAAACCACAGAAAGGTGGGTGTTCCTGCAATCAGCACAGAAAAAAAGCATTGAAAAAGTCTGTAAACTAAAGAAGAGGGGGAGGGGAACCACTGGAAAGAAATCCAAGCAGAGGAGGGGGAAGGGGGGAAAAATGCCCACTAAATCTGAAAGTCGAGAGGAAAAGAAAGCAGTTGATTGTATTTGCTGACATCCCAAGGATGGCAGTTGGGAAACAGCAATCAGGGCAGCACCATCAGGAGGCACACACAGTAAGAGCAATATGGGTGGCTCTTGAGATATATGTGGGAACACCTCTATGTATCTTTTAAATATAAACACAACTTGCATATATACATATAAAAGAACTTCAACTATCGCTTCAAAGAGAAAAGAAACAACCATCCTCTCTTACCTGGTCATTTCCATCAGCTGAAGACTTATATGACTTCCAAATAGAAAAGCAGTGAAGTCAGTAAACTCAGATATTATGATCATCCATGTCAACACTTACATCAGAAAACATCTGATGATGTAAGATCCAGTTTAACCATGCTCCATATATGTATATCAGAGATTCTTGCAGTGATTGAGGTGAAAGATTAGGGTACCAGCATTGTCCACACTCTTCCTCTGAGCTTCTGACAGTCACTCTCTAAGTGACCATCAACAGTCCAACCCCAAATGTATCCTATTTTCAGTGCTGATTACAGAAACACAAAATGCAGCCGATAGTCCTGTTAATGAATGATTATTAAATTGACAGCACCAATAGACAAAAATTAGAATTACATCACACTTTCAAAAAACTATAGCAAGTTATATTCTATATAAGCAGAATTCCCAATTTGAAGTGACAAGCAGAAAATAAGTAGTTTTTCATTGTCTGGTTAGTATTAGAGTATTATATTTACTATAAAATCAAGATCCGTTAGCAGGAATCCTTATACAAAGGGCATGAGAGTGCCAAGAATACAGAGAAATACGTCCCTAAAAAAGAGGAAAACCAATGTAAGTGTCAAGCTTTTCTAACAAACAAATCCAGAAAAACTGGCTCATTTAAATTTCAAAATGTCCAGATGATATTTCAAACACTAATCCATATGTCAAGACCTAAATAAAAGCAGCTAAATGAAAAGTGGTTAACAAAGAAAATTATGTATTAGTGTTACAAATATTGAGAAAGAAATACATTTTTAGGTAAATATGCAAAATATATAGGAAGAGATAATATCATAACCAGCTGCTACAACTGGGAGCAAAATACGTATTTTGGGATGCAAAAGTCTTTGTGTAAAGCACACATATTTCTGAAGGCAGCTCAATTTTTAAAAATTCTTACACTTAAAGGTGTCACTGCTTCACTTACATCAATAGCTGATCATAGCTACAACAGTGCTACTGGATCAAAACATGAGTGCCCAAGCAGCTCAGAATGGACTGGTTAATACAGATTTATTATAAAGAGAAATAATTCCAAAGAAAAAGACATTGATGTCGGAGGCATATAGAAATGACACAGGAAAGAAGCTGAGATTATGTATTTTCACAAGAATTCTTGGATCAGATTTATTTTATTGAATTGCTATTGGATACTGCATGTAAGTCCCATTCATTTGGGAAACCCTACCACCTTACTTATATCCTACACACTGTTATATTCACAACATCCTGAAGAAACTACCACTTTCCCATTTCTCTCATTTTTTATGCAGAGAAATAACAAAACAAAAACAAAAACAAAAACAAACCCAAAAAAATACAAGAGAGATAGAAATCCCAGCACCATTAAAATGGCACAATTATCACTGAATTAGATTGAGTGGGACCTTCACCTGAGCGAGTTGAGGTCACACACAAATTCTATGCTATAGCAAAGGACTGTGTATCATTTTCAGAGTACCCAGGATACCCTGGAGTATCTGAATTTATCTTCTTTTTCATAGGTAATGTTACCCCTAAAAAGCTTTCTGGTAACTTCTTCACCTTAGGTACCTGGCTGAGAAGAGAAACAAACAACCTAACTGAGCAATAACCTGCACTGTAGCTGTACTGACCCCGCACACTCCACTGTCACGACTTCTCTTGTTAAGAGATTCTACTTCCCTCCTGGATCTGCTGACGGTTTCAAATTATAAAGCACTTTAATAAAAGTAATTTCTTTTACTGGGACTGAAGGAGCTGGTGCTGTTTTGCTTCACTTTTCCAATGTAGCTAATTCATAGTCCAACTCATAAAATTAAGTTGAAAGCATGGTATAAAATAATTGTATAAAGTAACAAAAATCATTATTAGGTGTACATTCAGAATTCTGAGCAACGGCTCTTTGAATCCCTGTTTCTTTTTTGAACTGCAAAGCTTCCTAAAAATTACTAACTCCCAGAAAACTGAAACCTGGTGGTGCTGAGACTACACATCACTCTGACACCAGATAACCTGGACTTAATCTAAAAGATCTCCTGTTTACCCCTATAGGGTTTGCATCAGTGCCTCTGTGCCCTTAAGCAATAATAAAACCAGAACTACTGGAAAGGTATTCTGTAGCAGAGTGATGATCTGGAAAAGTTGATAATTTTGTGTATACACACTCTTTAGCCTTCTCTTTGTAACACAACCAAATACTATTGAAATTCCAAACATGCATAAATAATTCATTTTTAGATAGATCCTTCCCACTGAGGTTACAACTTAACTAATAGGTTTCCAGGCACCTGTATGATCATCTAGTCTGACCAGTTCTGTCTTCCTGAGCCTCCAGAAACTACTAAAAGTGAAAATAATCCTTGAAAACAAAACAAAACAAAACCAACAACAACAAAAGTGACAACTTCCTCATGGGACTTTTTTTATGGTTTATTTAATTTTGAATCCTTTATTGCATAACTCCTGTAAGACTTTTACTGGCTAAGCAAAAAAAAAAAAAAAAAAAAAGTTGCCTTGAAGAGCCATAAACCAGACTCTTCTCTGGTCAAACCTATCAGCTTGTTACCTCAACAAGGAATCTGGGCCATACTCCTTCTCTGCTTAAAATCCAATTTCTTAATTCAGTGGCTTCACCAGCAGAGCTGTTCCCACAGAGCACGGTCACTGTGGCAGTGATAGTCTCACCTCACATCCAGACCCACTGCAGCAGCATTTCTGCTTTTCCAGGGGTGGGAGAGAGGAAGATCAGCACTTCACCTGCAGACCCATGGAGGTTCCATTTGCTTTTTTACATCAATGCTCCATCCCTACCACAACTAAATCCTGATATCTACATTATTGCAAAGGTACAGCAGCCAAAATACACAACAGGAAGTGACTAGAGGTTTTGGATGCTTTAGTCTGCTGCTCTCTTACTGCAGGGGACTTTTCCTGTTCAGGACAGGAGGGGAAAATAAATCTATTCTAAAATTCTTGGTTAAACATTTATTTTCAACATAGATAAAGACTGGGTTTCCTCACAAAATCAGGAGCTTTCTTGTTATTTCAAACATCTCTTAAAAGTTGTCTCTCATTTTCAAAGCTCTTCATTTACTTTTATCCACTCACATATCAGTTGATCCCAAATTATCCCTCCTACATTTACAGAATCTTTAAGAAGTCTTCTATGACTCAGATTCCTCCTTTGCACCTTCTTCCTTTTCAAGCTACTAGCTGGTACCTCTGCTTCACTGGCTCCATAATTACAAATCTGATCTGAAAATATTTCTCCTCCTTCCTAAAATTTTTTAGCTTTTTTAGTGAGATGATTTTGCTGACCATTATGCACAACTCTTTTTCTTGTTGTACTTAAACCTATTATGTTTGGAAGTCCAATGTGTTAAGAAAAGCTATGAAGAGCAGTGTATGCTGTGTATGCACAAAATAGGATGTGCAAATTATGGGGATTGTTAACAAAAGAGTGAGATTACAGGGGAATCACTGGGAGCTATAGGGAAGCATTAAGGTACTTAAGACCACAAGTCTCCACTAGACCTCAACAGGGTTTGTAGTCCTAAAACTCTCTGGTGGGATTTTGTTTTGTTTTAAATACTACAGCTAGTAATAAACAAACAGGACCTCACTGTACTAAAGTCCTACTCAAAATTCATTGTTAAGGTTCAATAATTTGAAGTAAAATAAGGTTACAATAGAAAATATTCACAACAGTAATGTGGGTAATTTACACTAAAAAATAAACAGAAAGAACTGAAACTTCTGAATATACTGATGTTCATAATTAATTAATTAATAATTAATTAAGGACAAAACCAAAAGATTCTCTTGTACCATATAGTAACACTGTTTTCCAATTTTCCCTTTTACCTTCCTTTCGTAAGCTAGTTGTGGTGCTGCTTTTCCATAAAGACAATTTTGGTTTGTAGCACTGGTTTGGTTTTTTTTCTTTTAAAACTGCTCTAAGCAGTTTGAAAATGTGAGCTAACCATGAGTGGCACTTTAGATTAAAAAAATAATCATAAGGCAGAATTTCATAACTTTCTATAAACACAGTGAACACTAACTACAAGGATATATACAATAATATTATCTCTTCTGAGTATACAAGATCATCAAGAAATCTGCAGGAGTTTCCTTGTAAACAATTGAAGTATATTTTACTATATTTTTCTCCAGTCTTGTTCATGTTACTTTAAAAAATTTCAGTAACTTCTATTCATTTTCAGCTAATGTGAAAGCATTCCAGTGCAATGCTTTCACATAACACAAATTTTTTCTTTTCAAAGCCTCTATGGGAAACCTTAACCCATACTGCACCTATGTTTCCATCTGGAGTGTGCCAAGTTTCAGGGATTTGGCAGACTTGCATACACAAGAGTTTATCAGCTCTGTAATTAATTTTATGTGCATGAATGACATGAATGCATATTGGGTACACATTTTAACATTTGCTTCTTTCCTTTAATGAAAATGGTGATTCCATAAGATGAAGGAAGAAAAGGAAGGAAGGAAAGAAAAGAAGGAAGAAAATTCTCTTTTCTGCTGACTCCCTGTAATGGTAGTAGAGACCCAGACTGGAGGTTGAAGAGGTGCAGAAGAAAGATTAGATGCTTGCCTTTATTTTGCACAGTACTAAATATTGCATCAACATGCACAACTCAAAAGATTCAAAATACTCAAAATTTCATCTCAATGAAATAAAGTACAAATGCTTATAACCTCTACTGCTTCTGATGCTTCCCCACTATAAGACCGATAACGAGGCTATCTGATATTTTAACTCATTAGTCAAGTGAATAAGCACCAGCACCTCATACCATGAAGCATATCACAGGGAAACCCTTTTCAAGAGAAGTAGGTAACTGGCACTATTTTAAAGAAAAACCATCATCAACATCATCACAGTTCCTGATTACAGATGAATAACCAAGGAGGAAAACATACATTTCACAAGTTTTGGAGGTGTTCTACTTTCACTGTTCATGTTTTTTTGATTCCATTTGCCAAACATTGCTTGATTAAAGTATTTTTTTTCAATTTGTCAGTGCCATACATTATTGCCGTGTACTAATTTCGCAAGTCCATGCTTAAAATTGTCGTGTTCCTAGGAGTTTATTCCAAGCACAGTCACTCATTTTATATCACATCCAGCTATATCTCTACACGGTTTTTTAGCCTATGGCAGCTAATTATGCAGCTTCTTCTCTGCACTCCAAATATACTGGTGAGTTGCATTCTAAGTCATTACAACATTAGCAAACACTGAAGATAAAAATGCTTTTATATTTACCAAATAGATTGTATCTGAAAATAGTAAGAATTTGGCAATAAATACAATTATCTTGATTATCTAATCTAGAAATTTCAACACCTGCTAGTCCTGAACAAAATTTTGCAAAGCACCTTTTGTTCATTTCCCCATCCCCCACTTTGCACTCTGGTATTCAGTCAGATTGTTGTGAGACATCTGTAAAAATTATCTGCAGTGTCTCTCTTGCCATAATGCAGACAATCCAGCAGGTCTCTTCACGAACTGCAGAAGCAAAAGCAAGCACCTCTCCATGCTGCACACCAGTGTGCATTTTTGCATGTTTGATAAGGCTTTCAGTAGAGTTGCGGTGAGAGGTATTTCTAGCTGCCATTTGATGGACAGTCTGATCCTGGTTGGTTACTGTAAAACATAATCTGAAATAGAGGCTTAGACCCATGGCATATTTTTAACTTCCTGACATGCACAGCACAGTCTGCTGTTGAGGAATTTTCCTCTCGCCAAAGTGATGAGCAGACAAGGCACCACTGATGCTACTCAAGCTTTGCTCAGTGGGAGGTAATGCAAAAGCAGCGCAGCAACAAATATTGTACTAATGGTGTGCTGCTCCTTCTCCTCTCCCTCTCTCATCTCAGGTTCAGAGCTGGAAAATGATAAGAGACAGGACAGACTGCAATCTTCTTCAAGCAAAAGGAGTGAAGAAAAATCCTTTGGTAAGTGTTTGCTAGGAGAACAGAATTTGATGAAAAGCACTGGGCTGAAGGTAAATAAATAACTGACCTCTGTATTCAGTGTGGTGCTGAGCAGCTACAGCAAGAGATAGAATGTGTCAGAGCAACAAATTCATCTCTCAGTTGTACTGATGTCACTGAGGGTCCTCTAAATTTATAGCTGGTGTTTCTCTAGCTCTGTAGTGATGATATCAACCTTTCGGTTCATTGATGCTGCACTTACTGTGATGCTCTTATTAATTGTGGGTATATTTAGCATCAAATACTGACAACAGAAGATATTCTATATTCACTG